CCTGAGTTAAGACCACCCATCAGCACTTAAACAACATCAACAAGACTAAAGACCTTCCAAGTGGATTTGCATTGATTGTGGTTGCTTTAATGACTTGAGTTATTGACCAGAAGCAACCAAAGAGATGGCGATAAAAGCGTGCCCTGGAGGCTGAGGATTGTAAAGGAAGGGCTGCTGTGGTTGGTTTGAGGGTCAGAGCTAGCCAAGCTGAACCTTATCCATGCTTTTGTCTCAAGTCATAAATCCAGATTTGTCACAAGGATGTCAGGTAGAACTCAGAGAGCAGCTGAAGGCGACGCAAACAGCAGACGCACAATAATGACAGAAGAGGTTGTTCACAAAGGTCAAAGAGAACCGAGTAGGACAGAAATCTGTAGAGCAGAGATGATGTGAACACGTGAAGGTAAAAAAGCTACAGCTTCTGCTTTTCTCACTCTCAGACATTTGGACAGGTGTGTCCTGAAACCCTGCAAAACACCACTGAACACCTTGGTGTTTATTCGTATACCCCCCATCCCCACCCCCAGGCGCTCAAAGGGTAAACGACTATTCTAGTTTAGGGTTACAGCCAAGTTGCCTTGAACCTCCGACTTCCATGCGCACATGCCATTCCTGACAAGCCAACGCACTCCCTGGTTTGCATCACCTGCCCCCGACCCCCACAGAGAGGAAGGGGTACCTCAGTGCCTTCCCTGCTAAAATCCCCACTGACCATTCCGACCCTAACACCTGCCCCTCCCTATAATGCCCCACTTCAACTATTATTACAGCCTTTATAAGGGTTTAACAGTTGATCAGAGGATGCCCATGACCTCAATAGATGGCTGAGCTGGCCTAGGCAAAGCATACACTTAAAGGAGCTGTCTGGCTCGACAAAACAAGGTGATGACAGACGCTGTCTGAAAACTCCACCGCAAGTGTCCGCCCTGTTTTCCATCAAGCAGATCCACTATCAAACAGTTGGGCAGAGGGCTTTACTACGGCCAAACCATCTGTCCCCAAACATCTTTCGGTAAAATGCTGCAGCAACCTCACCTTCCCAACACCTGCTAGGAAGTGACATCATCCAAAAACTCACTAAGGAAGTTCTGTTGTTGGTAAAAGTCTGAAATCAAAAGTGTCCCGAGTATTTCTGATACTTCACGCCATCTTCTTCTATTGTGGAGCTTCAGTGAGAGACAGCTGCATGGGAAACATGGACACAACGTGTGTGTGTGTGTGTGTGTGTGTGTGTGTGTGTGTGTGTGTGTGTGTGTGTGTGTGTGTGTGTGTGTGTGTGTGTGTGTGTGTGTGTGTGTGTGAGAGAGTGAGTGAGGAACAGAAGTGAAATCAGCGGAGGGAAATTTTTAAGAGCGGTCACTGTCATTGAAAATGTTTTTTTTTTCCAAAAAAAGAAAATAGAAAGTTTATTATCTATGAAGGTAAAGTGATTTATCCTAGTTCATAGGTCAGATTTGTGAGGTTGTGTCAAACAAGTAGCACTTATTAAGGCTCTACCCACAAAGTCGCTCTAAGGTTCTAAATGGTTTATATGTGATGTACATAAAGTGGTGTGCAAAAGTCTTCATATCTTGCCTTGAAAAAGCCAAACTTGTAATCTTGTGAGCCTTTTGACAGTAGTGTCACCTGGCTAAAATCAAGCCTATAAGCTAATGATCACATGGCCATTTATAGTTAGTAACGCATGCTTCAATTTCCTCATGCTTGGGTTGGTCTCCACAAAGCTGATATCTCCAGGCTTCAAATGGCTCCAAACTCTGCAGCCAAGTTTCTGACTGGTACTACGCGCTATGATCATATTACACCCGTTCTGGCCTTCTTACATTGGATTAAGGCTTATTTTTGAATTCAGTTTAAGACTCTCCTTTTTGCTGTTAAACGCTTGCAAGGTACAGAACCAATGTGCTTGTCTGGCCTCTTGGTTTGCTAGACTCTCTCTTGTGAGCTCCAGTCTCAAAAATGTGATTTACTGGTGATCCCAAGGGCAAAGTATGGTTTCAACGGGGGAGGAGCCTTTTCTTCTCTGGAACCCTAAGCTCTGGAATGAGCTCCCTCTCTCTATCAGATGAGCACCGGCGTAGTACATGAAAAACTCACTACAATGTTGCTTTTTCTTCTACTACTTGATTTCAGCTGTTTCTATAGTTTTATTGCTTGTTTGAGCTTGTGTTGGTCTCCTGTGAAATGCAATGTTCTTATGCTGCCTTCAGCACCTTGATTGCCTTTATCGCTGTTGGAGGCACTGTTAAACTCTGGGCAGCAGTGGCTCAGGAGGTAGAGCAGGTTATCCAATAATCGGAAGGTTGCAGGTTTGATCTCGACTCCTGCCAGAGAGTGCTGCTGTTGTGTCCTTGAGCAAGACACTTGCCTGCTGGTGGTGTTTAGAGGGACCCGTGGCACCAGTGTTTGGCAGGCCTCATCTCTGTGTGCCCCAGGGCAGCTGTAGCTACATTGCAGCTCATCATCACCAGTGTGCTAATGTGAGTGTGAATGGGTGTATGAATGATTGTGTTGTGAAGGGCCTTGGGGGGTAGTAGACCCCCAAGAAGGTGCCATACGAATGCAGGACATTTACCATTTACAAGCAGAGGCAGAAAAACAACCCTCTGTGAGCTGTGTGGAGAATCTAATGTCTTGTTTCCAATAAACGGATTGCAGATAGTGGTGCAACGGATAAAAACTCACGGTTAGGATCATATCACGGTTTTGAGTCACAGATCAGATCATTTTCGTATCAGCAGAAAGAAAGGAAAAAGAAATGACAAATAACTTTGCTCTCTATTTTGTAGATCGGTGTTTCCCAACCTTGGTCCTAAGGGCACACTGTTCTCCATGTTGCCCTTTTAAACACCAGAGTGTTTTCCTGCTGCCACACACCTGACTTAAATGAATGAGGGATTAACAGGCATCTGCAGCTCCTGAGGAGCCAATGTAAATCAGGTGCTGAAGCAGAGACATGGAGTGCGTTTACAGGCAGCCAGTAACCCTTTTAAAACCCGAATATTCACAATAACCCGGTTCCGCAGGTCCATGTAAACACCGCCAAAAACCCGGATATGCTCATAACCGGGTTTTTAAAAACCCGGTTACTACACCTGGGGTAACCCTTTTCTAACCCGAATGTTTGGTCGTGTACACGCATATCGGGATATCCCCATCAAAGCGTGTGTTCTGCGCATGCTCTGTTCGCAAGGAATCTTGGTCTTTTGAGTAGCGAGACGTCTTGTATGCGCCAGAACTCCGGAAGTAAACAACAAGTTGGAGCAACATGGCGAGTCGCGGCACAGCACCACACTTTTGGAGTGACAAGGAAACGAAAGCGCAAACGCGGTCGCTATCTCTTCCGAACTGGGAAACATGTTGTTTTCACGGATACCGGAACAAGAAGAACCGGAAATGACGCATATTGTGTCTGGACGTAGTCCATACGTCCTGACGCTACCCCAACGTCCGCATTTAAATCGGGTTATGCAAGTTAGGGGTAACTCTTTCTATTTATGCTTTTAAACGGGTTATTCTGATCAACTCAGGAACCCGAATACCGACCTTAACCCGATCTTAACCCGGATATTGGCTGCATGTAAACGTAGTCATGGAAACCATGCAGGACAGTGAGCCATGAGGACCAGGGTTGATGTTGTAGATCACTGAGTTTTCAGGTCACAGTAAATACAAAATTACATTTTCCTCGAGACTCATTTAACGCAGTTACTTTCTATAATATCTATAATGTCAAAGATTTTTTAACTGAATGATTCCTACCATCTAGAATGATCGGTAAGAATTTTATGGATATCTGGAATGTTAATTTCTACGAGGAACAACAGAATTATAGAAATCTGGAATACATTTTCAGTCTGCGTAAGACATGTTAAAAGGCCCTCTTAGGCTTTTAGGGATTCTCAAATATCTCAAACTTAATTTCCACTAGTGCAGTTATGATTACGGATATCCTTAATTATACTTTCTAATAGTAACCACGGTAATGTAATTATTGTCCCAGGCATTTTACCCCACGCCTTCAGGTATCGGAGATACGAGTGAGCGGCGTTGCACCGTCAGACTGGAGGCATGCGAGTGTGTGTGTGTGTGTGTGTGTGTGTGTGTGTGTGTGTGTGTGTGTGTGTGTGTGTGTGTTTGTGTGTTAATTTTTACAGTTTGTAACATCACTGTATTTACAGCAAAATGCTCCCACACATCCGACTTAATGCAGGTGGTTTTTCAAGCTCCTCTCCTCCTCCACCACCACCACTGCTGTGCTTGTCTCGTTATGGATTGAGCAGGTGACACCTCGGATAGTCACGTGACTGACCCACGGACCATGTGTGTGCCAGAACGTAGACAGAGATCAATGCAGATCACGGATCATCATTGATCTGTTGCACCCCTAGTTTATGGTTCAATGTATTAAGGAGAGCCAACTACTGCCTGCTGCGCCTGTCCTTTGGTATCTTCTTCCTTGCGTTTCTCGTGTCTGTGTACAATGAAGTGAGGTTAAAAAGCACACTGGTGTTTATGTCTCAGGTCTCTTGCAAGCAGTGATAAGTTTATGAACCTCTGCAACGTACCACCCAGTGGAAACGAGTTACAACGTTAGGTCGTGTACAGCAAGGTAGGGTTTGCGCGCTAGTATGTTCACTTTTAAATTTAAACAGCCACGTTATGCCACTATTTTTCATGTCCTATGGGATGTGTGTCAAACAGAAAGACTGATGACTGCATAAAAGGTTCTTTCTCTTGCAGGCCTTATCAGAAGAAACATATGAAATTAAAAGCAGTTTGCTGCGATATTGATGATGCACACAGTGAAACTGTGATGACAATATAATTTATGTTAACAAACTCTGCAAAATGTAAATCTAGTGTTTGCTTTAGTTAATTTCATCTTCACCACTACAAAGGACACTTAGCCTCATCATTCCCTGTCTCCAGCTTCATCATTCCTGTCAAAAGGACAGAGGTAAACCGAGAGCATGACAGTAGAGATGGGCGTACCGTACATCTTGCCCTCATCAGAGAGGATGATCTTTCTGCGTCCACAGGGTGGGTAAATGGCCAGGGCCTCCTGGAAACTCTGCTCGATGTCAGGGCTCCACACACCCTCTGCGTCGTTCTCCAAGGGTTTGTCAAGTCCATCTCCCAGCTCTTCACTCCCACCCCTGGGGGAGGGAGCCGGTACCCACTCAGAAGACGTGGTGGTACAACACAAACGAGGCCAGTGAGCAAAGTGTGGAGGATTGGAGTTCTGTGGCAAGCAGCGGCGGAACGACAGGGAGGCCTCTGCAGCAAACACACCTGTCTGTTGGAATTCCTCAGGTGGTTATGAAGATGTTGAAAATGGCTCTAGATGAGAATGAACAGGGATAAAAAGAAAATGCATTTGGGTTTAAAGATGTGGTTCACTCATTTAATCAACATTTGCAGTCGTCTATTGGAATAAATGCCTTGTAAGTTGTACTCTGGGGAAACAAAGCACCGGTGCACCTGTTTCAGAAACTAGAAGTGAACAACATCACAGCTGAGCTTCAGACGGCAGGATGTTGAGTCTTATTTCCTGATATTTGGACATCTCGCCTCTGACTGGCTAACAGCAACACAACTTTACTACTGTTTGTTTTGCAACGTTGATGTTTTATCTCCACAGATAACACAAGCCTGAAGGAGTTCTGCTGTGTGGTGGAGTTGCTAATGCTAACAGTTAGCTTCTACAAGCTGAGACAATCTTTGCTGTTTCCTGGATGCTAAACCAACTACAGCATTCCTCGTCGTGAGTCAAGATGGGTGAGTCCATGAATGTTAAGTGACAGTGTGACGTAGATCTGTCAGGCTTTTCTAATCCTAGAGTTTCACCGTCTAGTTTCTTTCAGAGGCTAATACAGGATATAGGTGTAGGAGACTATTTAATTTTTCTGCATGAAAAACTCGTAGTGACCAATTATAACCAGAAATGAAAATTAAAAACTGGGTTTTCAGTGTTCCGCACTTCTAAGTTAGAGTTTTAATGAATTTTATAAGCTAAGGCTCAGGTTTATGGATAACTGAGACTGCACGAAACAAAGTTCACTAACAACAAGAGTTTCAGTCAGTGTTTGTATTTGAGCCATTTTTATCTGAATTACAAGTAAATGTCTGCGACCTGGAGCTGTTTTAGAAACATGTAAGTTTTTCTTATAGTATTCACTATAGTATAAACCTCCATTCAAATGTTGAGTTCAATCAGAAAAAAGTATCGAAGTCAAAGCTCCAATGATGACAGACATCAAAACTGGCCTAGTTTGGTAATAGTGGACTTCTACCTATCAACAAATGAAAAGAAAATTCCTAAAAACAAAACAAACACACACAAAAAAAAAAGAACACAGAAAACAATAGTAGGACACAGTGACGGAAGAACTGTCAGACTCATGAGTCAAAATGAACAGAGGTTTTCTGTCATGGGCTGTTTTCCTGCCACAGTGAAACTCCAACACCACGTCCATTTAGGGCAATAAAGACAAAAGTAGTAGACGTCACGTTGCTGCTAATTCCAAACATGAGTGTGTTGGGAGGCAGCAGCGATCTGGTGTCAACGTGAGTAAGAAATGACTCCCAGACCATCTCCTCCCATACTTCCTTTGACGCCCCTGATGTTCCACAGCACTTCCTGTAAAATGCCCTGTCAGTTGACCTTCCATGAGTTTGTGTGTTTGCACAGATGTACACATAAGAATGGAGAATTTAAAAACAAGCAGAAATTGCTGTTGGTTCACATAGCCCTTAACTTTCTAATGTTCCAATATTTTCTTTCTCTGGTGCATAGTCTGGTTCCAGATAAGCAACATGGTAGCTACTGATTTCAACAGTAAACGAAGACAGATGTGCTTGGCGTGTTTTTATATCATAACTTTTGTACATAAAATAATCTGTATTATTCAGACCATTATCTGAAACTGAACGTTTTTATTTAAAACAGGCAAAAAAATGAAAATATACAAATTAATATTTTTCTTTCACCTTCTACCGAACCCGTCTGACTTATAGGACACGTGATAATTTTAACTCATGCAAGTATTTTTAACATGCCTCTCAAAAAGCAGTAATCGTGGCTGGTAAGCTACTGACACATTGAGCCATGATGACTTTTTTGTCAGAAAAGTACTTTTTATTGTCTCTGTGAGTGACAGCGGGTTGAAAGGCATTAGCGTGCAGCTCTGTGGCTCACTTAAAGCATCCAGGAGGTTCATTAAACTGAATGATGCCCTAAACAAGCCCGACCAACAACCCCTTCACCTATGGGCAAATCCTCCAGCTGGTGCAGCAGTCAGGGGCCCCGGACCAAACACACCTATCACTGCACACACACTCTGGTGTGTGTGTGTGTGTGTGTGTGTGTGTGTGTGTGTGTGTGTGTGTGTGTGTGTGTGTGTGTGTGTGTACCGGTCTATACATCAAAGTGAGGACCAAAACAAGTTTTGTTACCTGCAAATTGAGGACATTGTGTCGGTCCTCACTTCGGTACTAATGTTACAGAGCTCTAGTCATTAGTTTTAGATGTTTGGTGTGAATTAAGTTTTAGTTAAGGTTATGGTTAGGAGTAGACTGGTTATGGTTAGAGTTGGGGTTAGGGTTAGGGTTAGGCACAATCCTGCCACTGAAATAAATAGAAGTCAATGACAGTTCTCACAACAAATGCTAGAGTGTGTGTGTGTGTGTGTGTGCGCGCGCGCGCGTGTGTGTGTGTGTGTGATCAGAGCCCAACATTAATAACACTGACATTTCTCACCAGCTATTAAATGAATGTCCTGGAAACGTTTTAGCAAACATGTTTACCACCATGACCTGTGAGTCAAGTTCATGTTTGTGTTTTTCATGAAAACTGTGAAAATTTCTATTTTGAGCAACAAAATCACAACTAAAATTTGACTTTGTTCATCACAGTAAATCGATGGAGTGAAAAGGTGTGCACTGTTTCTTAGAGCAGTTAGTACTTGGATGTTGTCATTCAGCTAAAATAATATTTCATGTATTTAATATTTCTATGTCTAAGTTTGAATATTCTGAAGAAAATCTACACACTGACCACCACTTATGGATTATGCTGAGTCTACACACGTGTCTCATAGAGGGGCCATGCAAGCACATGTCTGTACTTACAAATCTGTGCTAAACATGCTGGGAATGTAATGGCAGTAAATGTTTTGACACCAGTGCGTGGGTGCAAGATGGAGGTGGTTCTGTTGGGTTTTCTGATGCTGGATCCCACTGGGTTGAAAGAGCCAGAGCATCTGGGCTTCATAGACTCACACGCATCCAGACTGCACGATTTTATTCGTCTTTACCCGATTCTAGAGATTACTTCAACAATCAGTTAACCTGCTCTTTGTTCTATTGATTCATTGTCACTTGCAGCAGCAAAATTCACAGATTCTGCAGCAACTCTTCTAGTTTTGATTGGGTCTGACTGCCTATTGCTTGTTGTGGTTTACAGCTGCAGCAGACAGCTGTTTTCACAGTTCCAACAACTCTAAAACTCTTAATACTCTAAAAACTCTGTAGCAAATTAAGGTCAGAAAAAATTATCAGCTTTTAAAGGACATCAGGAATAAACCTATCGTGTTAAAAGTGACAGTGCTGGAGTTTACTGACTAGTTAGAAAAAACCCACAACTAAAGCTCACAAAGCTCGTTTTTAGCCAGTTGATAATGTTTAACGTTTAAGTGCAAATGTTATTAAATTATGAGAAGAGTTTGTCTGCACAAAGTTGGGTCAAGACATAAAATCACCCGAGTTAAAATCTCCCAGAAAGCTCAACCTGCAGTCTCGCTACATCAACAGGAAATGTGCTGCAGAGAAAGAGAGCAGAGGCTCTATCACATCCGTCCCTCATAGACGATCAGGCCGGCTGCAATCGTTGAACAAAGTCACACAAACAGCACCGAGCTCCCGATGAACGGGGGGGGGGGGGGGGGGGGGGGGGGTCTTTGTTCTACAAGCTCATATCTGAGGAATTATTTCTACTGTGAGCGGGGAAGGAATGATCGCTATGTGGGATGAGCACAGAAAATACACACACACACACACACTAGTGCACTGCATCTGTCTCATGGCGTTTTCAACAAACACACACTTTCAAACAAGGACAAATCTGTGTTTTTGTTCTCACACACCTTTACACACCTGCTTTTGTGTTCACCATCCTTTTTGTTCCACTCACCCACCCACACAAACACGTCCACATCCCAGTTCCATCACAGCCGCCCACACACACACACGCTACCGCGACTCAAACAACAAAACCTTTAGTTACAGAATAACAATCAGGATTTTTTTTTAAATAATTACAAGAACAGAAGAGTCAAATATGTGGAAACAAACTGTTCTGGACTGACTCAGGAGTCAGAGAAGAACCTGACAGTGGTGTCGCCTCCCTTCCATCATTCAGGTCCAGTCTACCTGTTGCTGCTCTGGAAAACACACTCCTGTCAGCTGCCTGGGGGGGGGGGGGGGGGGTACTTCAGGAATGTTTGCAGAAGCCTATTTTGTCAGGTTGACATGCAAAGCTTTTAATATTACAAGAAGGTTTTTGTGGAGGGAAGTCTTTATTTTTCCTGCCAGCATTTGATGATTCTTTTTTCCTTTGGTGGTTTATCCTGTTAATCTCTGGTGTTGTATTTTGCACAGACTTTCCACACTTCGCTCTATAACATTTGAATCATGCTGAATGTGTATTTGTGGAAACAGATGCAAACTTCACACACCAAAAGGAATATTTTCCAAACAATAACGTTCTTTAATCTCACGGCTTACCTGTGCTTTGATTGGGGCAGAAGAAATCCTAATTAATTTTAAATCCAAATTTGAGATAAACAAACCCTAACCCCTCCAGCCTCCGTTTGTAGTTTAAAGGGACCAATTAAAAAAGCATAAAACTCACAACATGCATGCGAAATTTAAGATTAATTTTGATCTTTTTGATCATTTTCCCTGACAAGAATTATTTCCTCCTCAAACATCATAAGGTAGATGGATTAATCGCAAATAATTGGTCCTATCTGTGCGTGGGTAACAGAGGAGAAAGGAAAAAAAGCAGCAAACATTCATCCAAACATGATCTTTTATGTTTAGTTTTTGTTTATTTAATCCATCCATCCATTTTCATACGCTTATGAGTCGGGTTGCGGGGGCAGTAGCCTAAGGCGAGAGGCCCAGACTTCCCTCTCCCCAGCCACTTGGGCCAGCTCCCTGGCCAGGTGAGAGACAT